TTAGTTTTGACATAAGAGACTTACAGTCAACCCAGTTCCAACATTTCTTCCTCTGCCTTCCCCAAACCATCCTTCTCCCACAGCAACACAATTTTGCATGCCCTGCAAGCACTAAGAATGGGCCTAGTGTGGGACCCAAGGGATAAAACCCCTGGGGAAAAAAAAAAAAAAAGGAAACATCTAATAACAGAAATTTCAACAGAAAACATTTTCTCTGTGAATGAACAATAAAACACATCAATCTCGTGTCTAGAAGTACATGAGCCTCCAAAAAACTTTTTATAACTAAAGTATTTCAAATAAATATATTTTTTATCAATCAGAACTGTTCTGTGGGACCCAAGGGATAAAACTCCTGGGGAAAAAAAAAAAAAAAAGGAAACTTCTAATAACAGAAACTTCAACAGAAAACATTTTCTCTATGAATGAACACATCAATCTCGTGTCTGGAAGTACATAAGCCTCCAAAAAACTTTTATAACTAAAGTATTTCAATTTTTTTTTTATCAATCAGAACTGTTTGTAATGGTCCTGACTGTACTCAGGCTAAAGCTCTCCTTGCTATCTCATGGGCACATCTGGTTTGTGTCTCCAGAGTTCTTCCACACCTCCACTCCTTGAACACCACAGTGCAGTGCCTGAGTCACACAGGCTTTGTGAGTTCCTGAAGGTGACTTGGATGTACCCTCAGTTCTTCCAAAATCCATCCATCTGTTCCCTGAAATCCTTGTTCCTCCCTGTGGCAGACTTGCACTCATCCAAGCCACACCAACCACCTTCCCAAGTGCACAGCTTTGAGAGAACAACCCTCCCCAGGTTGCTCTGCTGGGCAGTGACAGCTCCAAGGACTGCTATCCCTGAGAGCAAGGGAGGGCTGAGAGGGATTCCAGCCATGACCCACAAAAACAGCAAATGCAAAACACCTCAAACTGGGCATCTGGGCTCTGCACTGCTGTGCCCAAGTAAAAGGGTCTGACTTGTCTTTCTAAGAGAAAGAGTGACTACATCTGGGAGAGGGAGGGCTGGAGCACAGCCAGAGCAGCTGTGCTTCCTCGGGAGGCCATCTCAGTGTTCTTAACCTACAGGACCTGCAGGTACAGACTCTGTATTCACTCAGATTGCAGAAAACCAGGTTTGCTTGGCAGTGTGACAGCAGCTTCCCCAGCCTGGCTTGTGCAGGAGACACTGAGACAGGACACACTGCAGCCTTGGAGAGCCTAGCCAGCACAATTGCTGGGAACTGTGTCCATGATGTCCCAGCACAGGGCTGGCAGAACACCTGAGTCACCAGGGAGTGCCATGTTTGGGTCAGAGCACTCTGCACTGGGGGCACAAGAGCTGGCCTGACCAGCCCTGCTGCAGTGAGACTCAGTACCATCCACCCCAAAAGTCATGGAACACAGAGCTCAAAAGCCATTCCACCACATCCCAGCTGCCTCTTCAAGCGAGCACAGCACAGGTGGCTCCTCCACTCACTGGGCTAGGCCTGTTCTGGTGGCAGGAGGTGTCTCAGTCCAAGCCAGTCTGAGGGAGAAACCCAAAAGAAAGGTACAGATAAAGTTCTCCCAAGTTTCTCCCTTGCACCACATCAGCTGGGGCCTTTTTATGCAATCCCAGAGGACACGCCAAGGACCAGACAAGTCCTATCAAGACAAACCAAGGAACGTGGTTATGTGGACATTAACCCAGACCCAAAGCTCAACTTAAATCAGAGGCCTGGAGAGCTGGTCCCACCCTACCCAGAGCAGAGCCAACACCAACATCACATCAGGCTGCTCAGGGCCTTGTCCAGGTACGTGTAAGTGTCTTTGGAGCATGGTGTGTTGTACAGAGTGTTCTAGACAGCACCACCACTGTGGGACTGAAATGCATTCCCACACATGGGATGACATGTTCATTTTCAAAGGCCCTGCTTTACTTATTTGCTTGTTTTGAAATATTTTGTTATTCTGAGTATTTGCTTATTCTGAAAGAACATTGCTGCACTGAATTTATTTGTACATTATTTCTGAGGCCTATGATGCACCTTGCTCTTGTTTACACAAATTGATAGTTTTAATTTCTCTATTTTAGTTCCTTTTTCCTACTTCGATAATATTTATTTAAAAGGATAAAAAAAAATATGATGAACAGTAATGTAGAGAGCAATGCAATATATGTCACCATTAAAATAAGAACAAGTAACTAAATTAACAAACATACAGTAAATTGTGTTGCACTTTTCATCCTTTGAGATATAAAGTTTCATTTCAATATGCAATTTTTACTGTGGCTGCCTTAATTTTCCTCAGATTTTTCTTCTTGAAAAAAGTCGCAGAATTATAGACAGAACACCTGAGCTGGAAAGGACCCACAAGGATGATCAAGTCCAACCCCTGCTGCTGCACAGACACCCCAACAATCCCACCCTGGCATCCCTGAGAGCACTGTCCAAACACTCCTGGAGCTCTGGCAGCCTCGGGGCTGTGCCCATTCCCTGGGGAGCCTGGGCAGTGCCATCACCCTCTGGGGAAGAACCTTTCCTGATCTCAGGCCTGACCTGCCCTGGCCCAGCCCCAGCTGCTCCCTCAGGTCCTGTCCCTGTCACAGAGAGCAGAGGAAGGGGCTGCCCCTCAGGAGGAGCTGCAGCCCCCAGTGGGGTCTGACCTCAGGCCCCAGGTGAACAGACCAAGTGCCCTCAGCCGCTCCTCGTGTGGCCCCTCCAGACCCTTCCCTATTTCTGTGTCCCTCTTTTGGACACTCTCCAACAACTTCAGATGCTTCTCACATTGCGGTGCCCAAAACTGCCCCCCGGACTTGAGGTGAGGCTGCACCCATGCAGGGGAGCCACGGATTGCTCCAAACAGGCTTTGGTACTCCCAGGGGTTTCATCTGTAGCCTTGGACAGTCAGCTGTCGGAACCCAGGACATCTCTCTGGATGCCCTGGATGTCTCAAAGCCCTGGCAGGGGCTCGGAGACCCTGGCAGGAAGCCAAAGACACCTGGAAATTCGATCTTAATTCATGGAGCAAATTGCCAACCTCATATGAAGAATTACACATCACAAAAGTTTAAGTGGCACAGTAGTAGAAATCACAAGGTGAAGGAAAAAATTTTAGAGCACTGTACAGGGGGGTTTTGTATGTTGTACAGGGGGATTTTGAAGTTCTGTACATGGGGGTCAGGGGTTTTAAGATGGAGGGATTTGGGCATGCCCTGTCCTTCTTCTTTCTTCTCCTTGGCATCCATGTTCAGGATGATGTTGGCATGTGTGGATTGGTTTGTAATGAAGGTACACTTGCCAGCAAGGGCGAAAAGTATTGGAAATAGAAGGTAAATATCTTATACGTAGTTTTCACTATAAAAGAGACAACCGCCCCGTGGGCGGGAGAGAGTGCCCTTGGCTGTCTTGCTGATCAGACCTCGGCTGGACAGACAGAAAAACTTTGTAGATAAGGAACAATAAACTCAACTGAAAACCAAAAGCAAGAATCCAGACTCCTTCTTCGAAAGCGTGGCCTGCCCAGAACCACCTTTTCCCACGTTGGGGCAGAGACAACAGCCGACCCCAGCAGTCAGCCCCAGGTGGACACAGAGGCTGAGTGTTGGGAAATGAGGTGCACAGAGGGCACCAAGCAGGCAAATAGTATTAATTTAAAAATCCTCTTTCCTCCATTCCTCCAGGCTGTATCTCCCAAGCACTGAGTCTGCTCTCACATTCTGGTCACACATCCCTCCTGGCTCTGAGCTCCCACAGGAGCAGGTGATGATGCAGTCTCACACATATACTGGTACCTACCTCCAGCACAATTTCTTGGAGTTGGATCTAGAGAACAAGGGCCTACCGACTTTAAAATCCCCCGTGGCAGAGCATCTACAGCTCTGAAGGCAGTGGTAAACTGCCCTGCTTGCCAAACACTGGGTTCTTATCTCCAGCTGCTGGGTCTTGCCAATCACTTGCTTCTTTAGCATGACTGAGGTCAAACAAATCCTCCAAACTCTCATTCCATGCACAGCCTCCAAACAGACTGACCCTGGTTCTTGGAGGACGAAGCTTAAGAATTAATGATCAGCCTGCAGGCCAGGATAATATCTCAACCTCGATGTACAGATTCCTTAAGTCACACTCTGTTCTACATTTAGCTGGGAATTTATCTCAGGTTGTTGACAACGACTCTGTACCTGACTGTGTGTATGGATTCAGGTTTTAAAATTCATCCCCAGGCAGGCTTGGAAGCAAGCTGGAGGGCAGGAGGGGAGCGGAGGCGGCTCAGGGCTGTCAGCTGGAGGCGATCTGCCGGAGATGTTGAGCTGTGTGTGTGGGAAGAGCTCAAAAATAGTATTAATTTAAAAATCCTGGGATTCTAAAGCAGGCTCCCGGTGCCTGGCTCCCGCAGCCCTGGCAGAGCCATTCCAGGGGTTCGCCCAGCAGGAGCCACACCAGGCAAGGAGGCAGCTCATGTACCCTGCGCTCTGTGAGGGCTCTGCTGCCAGAGCCCTGCAGCTGGGAATGGAGAATCATGGAGAATCAATTAAGGTCAAAAAAGCCCTCTAAGATCAGTGAGTCCAACCACTCCCCCGGCACTGCCATATTCACCATGAAACCATGTCCCCAGGGGCCACATACACGTGTATTTTGAACACTTTCAGGCATGATGATTCCGTCATCCCACGCCCTCTGCCCTGGGCAGCCTGTGCAAGGGCCTGACCACCCCTTCAGGGAAGGAATTTCCCCCAGTATCCAACCTGACCCCCGCCTTGAGGCCGTTCCCTCTGCTCCTGTCCCTGTTCCCTGGAGCAGAGCCCGACCCCCCCGGCTGTCCCCTCCTGTCAGGAGCTGTGCAGAGCCAGAAGGTCCCCCTGAGCCTCCTTTTCCCCCGGCTGAGCCCTTTCCAGCCCCTCAGCCGCTCCCGCTGCTCCGCTCCCTTCCCCGCCCCTCAGCGGGGGCCGCTGGGGGGCGCTGTGGGACCCGCCCCGCGCTCGTTGCTCGGCAACCGCCCGGCACCCAGGGGGCGGGGCGCTCTGCGCGCGGCGCGATGACGCAATCAGAGCGCGCGGCGCGGGGAGAGGGAAGGGCGGGGGGAGGCGAGGTGTGCGGGCCGGGACCTCTCCCCGCGGCGGTGAGTGCGGCCGGGCCGGGCCGGGCGGGGCGGGCGGCCGCAGCGCCCCCTGTCGGCGGCGGGCGCCGTGCCATGTGGCCGTGCTGGCTGTGCCCGCAGGTGCCGCGCGCCATGGCCCCCCCCAAGGACATCATGACCAACTCCCACGCCAAGTCCATCCTCAACGCCATGAACGCCCTGCGTAAGAGCAACACGCTCTGCGACGTCACCCTCCGCGTGGAGCACAAGGACTTCCCGGCCCACCGCATCGTCCTGGCCGCCTGCAGCGACTACTTCTGCGCCATGTTCACCAGCGAGGTCGGTGCTGCCGCCGGCCCTGGGTGCTCCGTGGGTGGAGGAGGCAGGGCCGCCCAGTGCTTGGGCTGGTCTCTGTTGGGCTGCTCAGCAGCTGGGCCAGGATCCCCCCGTGGGGGCCCAGGATCCCCTTGTGGTGATCCTGGAGTCCACCGGGTACTCCCCATGGTTGCTAAGGATGCCCCCGTTGTGGTTCTTGATCCCTTCATGGTGGCTGTGGGTGCCTCAGGAATGGCCCTGAATTTCTCCATGGTAGCCCTTGGTCTCTGTGAATCTCCCCATGCTGGCCCTGGAGCCCTCTGGGTTCTGTCCTGGTGCCCCTGGAGCCCTCTGAGATGATTTCCATGTCTTGTGGTGGCCCCAGAGCCATTTATTGTGACCTGGTGGGGAATTAAGAGGTTGTGGCAGGGAATGTGGCCTTGATTCATGGTCTGCTGTGACCACCCTGTGCCCAGCGAGCTGCCAGGCTGAGCTGCCAAGCCAGACAGTTCTGATACATGTACTTGTTTTTCTAGTGGTGATTTGTGGTTTCCGTGGTTCCGGGCACCTCTCCTGCCCTGGCGCAGAGCTGTGGGAGCCGTACTGGGCATTCTGGGCAGCCCTTCCAGTGCAAGGGAGGGTGTTTGATGTGGGCTCTGGCTGCCCTTGGCACTGGCTGAGGGCTGGGCCGTGCTGCTCCCCTGCCATGGGGGTGTCACTGGGGCTGGGGTGGCTCTGAGCCCCAGGTGCTGACCCAGCTCATCTCACCTGTGAGCACCTTGGCTCTCAGCCCCTCCTGTGAGACTTGCACTACCTGTGTGCAGTTTCCCTGAGTCACTGACAGCACAGCTTCAGCTGGAGCTGGCACTCGCTGTTGAATGTCAGATGCTTTGCCTGGCTTTGTCTTTATAAGTTGGAGTCAATCTTTGCAGCTTTTACTTATGGAAGATGCTTTCCTTATCCTTCCACCTTCCCCATGAGCAGGGAGAAACATTGTTAAGTAGCTCACAGGTCCTAAAGCCCTCCCTGCTAGCCCAAGAGTCATTGCAGCATTATTTTTTCTTTGTCTTACCCAGGCATGAAGGCTGTGGCAGAGTTCTCTGTGTGCCCACTTATCTCAGTGCTGTCAGGGCAGCTGACAGCACTGTTTACAGTCCTGTGCAAAGAAACCAAAATGATGCATGTGTGGCCTGACCTCAGACCAATATATTTTTTGTCCATATCTTCATGAAATTTGTAAATTCATTGGGTTTGTGCTCTTGCTCTGCATAAGAAAATGTAATTAGATGAAGAAAACACACAAAGCAAATGCAGTCCCTGGAGGCTGAAGTACTCTGTTCTCCAGGAGCTCTAGGTGCTCAGCAGTACAAGGTGTCTCTGCTCCTCTGGGTTTGCCTCCATGTTCCTGTCACTGCTTTTGATTTCTGGACTTCGTCTAGGCAGCGTGCAGAGATCCAGTCGCTCTGTGTGCTCCAGAATGTTCTTTGTGGCTGCTAACAAAGGCTGGGGCTTGGTGTGCTTTGGGTCTGACCTGAGATGTATCTCCTTGCTTCGTTACCCTCATGTTCACTGTAACATCTTGGTGACCTTCATTCAGACATGTGAATCTTCCTGGGAGATTGAATTCTTCCTGGGAAAACATCTGTTCTCAGTGGGCAGAATTGCTTGCTCTCCCATGCTCCCACAATGCCTCTGCTTTAAGGGTTTCTTTTCTTTTGCTTGGTTTGTCTCTTCCAAACTTGCTTCTTTGTTATGGAAACCCTGCAGTGCCCAACCTGCCAAGGGGCACACAATTAGGGAGTGTTTGTGGGAGAGCTTCCTTCCAGGAAGGGGCAGCTTGGTAACCTCAGAGTGGACTTGTGTCCTGTGTGTGCCAGCGACAAGTGTGCCTGTGATGGGACAGGGCTTGGACACTCTCCAGCCACTTGTGGGTGCAGGGTTTGGCCAGGCTGGGACTCCAGGCAGCTCAGAGTGTGTGTGGTGTCACGGACTGACAGGCCCTGCCAGGGCTTCCTCAGCACTCCATTGCTTGCCTCCTGCAGGTCTGGGGGCTGCTTGGCTGCTCTGATGGGCCAGGCTGGGCTGCACGAGGCTTTGTTCAGAATTGATCTTGGGGTTATGCCATGGCATTCCTGGCCTTTTCTCCTGGGGTTATGCTGCACTATTCCTGGTGTCACATCTGTGCATGGCCAGTACAACACTGAGACTGTCAGCAATACTGTTGTCATAAAGAACTACCTTTGCCTCTCTGTGTCTCAAGTTTCCTTCCTTCTCTCACTTCTGATTAACATTCTAAAAAGTTCTCAGTCTAGCTTAGTATTAATTTCTTCCCATTTTCTGTTCCCATTTTACAGCATGAGAAGAAGCCACTGATCACCTGATGAACCCCAAGTTTTTTACAACACTTTCTTTTACCCCTTTTGCTGAGCAGTGTGAGAGAACTGAAACACTATCAGTTTTACCTGCAGGGTTGTTCCTTGTAGTAAAAATTGCAGAGCAGTTTTATCTCCCCTGGATCTTGGCTGTGCACTGGCATTTGTCTTTGTTTGTCTAAGTTAACATAACTTGGGATCTTTTAAGAGCTGATTTCCACCTCAGAAGGAAACTGTTCTGTCTTCTCTTGGAGGCTGTTTTCTAGAAATTGAAGGGTTCCTTCTCCTCAGAACAGAGAAATGTTATTCTGAAAGTAAACAGCTGGTGTTCCCAGGTTCTTACATGGTCAGCTTCTCTGTGCTGTAATTGCTCTCCAGGGTACAGTGAGCCACACATTAGCACTGTCATGCCAGCATTTCTCTCCCTCTGTGAGAAGAATTTGAGGTTTATGCCAGAGTACTTTTGTGTATCTGCATTAGTAAGGCAAAAACAAGAAGTAGCCTTGGGTAAGAAAGGAGTTGCAAAATTTTAGACCCATTCTCCTGCGTGATTGTCGTGGTTTAGCCCCAGGCAGCAGCCAAGCCCCTCAGAGCCCCGTGCTTGATCCCCCACCAGCAAGATCAGGGAGGGAGTCAAGAGTAAAAGCTGGAAAATTTGTGGCTTGAGATAAAGACAGTTTAATATGGAAAGCAAAAGCCACACATGCAAACAAAGCAAACCCAGGAATTCACTCCCTGTTTCCCATGGGCAGGCAGGTGTTCAGCCATCCCACAGAGAGCAGGGTTCCAGGACATGTAACAGTGACTTGGGAGACAAACAGCATCACTCCAAACATCCCTCCCCTCCTTCCTTCTGCCCCCTACTTTATACACTGAGCATGATGTCAAATGGCCTGGAACATGCCTTGGATCACTTTGGGTCCTCTGTCCCAGCTGTGTCTCCTCCCAGCTTCCCAAGCACCCCCAGCTCCCTTGCCAGCCTGGCAGTGTGAAAAGCAGAAAGGCCTTGGCTCCGTGTGAGCACTGATCAGCAATAACAAAAACACCTCCATTATCATCCCTACATTCAGTACAAATCCAAAATACAGCCCCATGCCAGCCACTGGGAAGGAAATAAACTGCCCCAGCCAAACCCAGCACAATGATTTATGAGTGGAATGGAAAAAGCAACATTGTGTCTCACAAAAGAGCTGTAACCTGCAGCCCCTGCCTTAAAACTTTCAGCGGCTTGGGCATCTTGAGATAAAACTCCTGAGGCCTCCACATGACTCTCCTTGGTTGTTTTCTGGATGCTGCAGTTGATTTTGGGATCTGTACTGCTGCACGCTTCCTATGTATGGGCTATTTTACTCCCTTCAGGGTGAGTGAGCAGAGCTCTGATATTAAACAACAAAGTGGGAAACCAGTCTGACATTCTGACAGCAAAGATGTGTCTGGTGCCACTGAACAACCTCAGAAGTAAACAGTGAACACCTTGGAGAGAAAAGCTGCCTGGCCTGTGTGTTGGTTAGCATTGTATGACCATCATCTTGCATTCTGAGTCCAAGGATGTGGCTGCATGGATGGATGAGGGACTGTCTGTGTCCCATCAGCCCAGCACTGAGCCCTGCAGGCAGTTCTCTAATGCTGCACACACAGGCTGAAGAGTCCTCTAGAGTCCTCCTGAGTCTGAAAGGCTGAGAGGATTGGGATTGTTGAGTCTGGAGAACACTCTGGGGTGGCCTTCCAGTACCCGAAGGAACCAACAAGAAAATGGAGAGAGACTGTTTCCACTGGGGTTACAGGAGAAAGGGAAATGGCTTCAAACTGACAGAGTGGGTCCACAGAAGGTCCCTTCCAGCCAAGACCAATCCATGATTCTGTGTTCAGAATCAAGTTGTCTCCACACTGAGACCCTTCTTAAGGTATAATGTTAGGATCCAAATTCTGCATCACACACATTAGATCAAGTTACATTAAATACTTCCTTCCTACTAGGCATTGTTAGCATGTGAGTAAACTGAGCAAAATAACAACCAAGTGGTGGAGTGTAGCAGAAATACAAGGGAAACAGGAATTAATCATCTGTATGGTATTAGTGTTGTCCTTGTGGTTTGTGTTGTGGTCACCAATATAAAGAGAGTATGTGCATGGCTGGTTGATTGTGGGTCAGGAGCTTCTTTATGAGCTCCAGGCTGATGTGTGAAGAACTGATGCTTACAACTATCAGGAGGGCAATAGAAGTTTGTAACATCTTTGGTCCTAAATATGTATGGTCTATGTCTTCATTTGCTTATTAGAATCATCTGAACATCTTGTCTGATCAGTTCTGAACTTTGGTGGCATCTGTGTCCTTTGTGGTACAAACAGCTTAGTCTTGGTTTGGGAATGTTTCGTCTGGCCCGAGGCAGGAACTGGTTTTAGCTTCTGAATGCAATCCTGGCCTGTCACACAGCAGGTCAGACAAGGTAATTTGCTGTTCCTTCCCAACTTTGGAAGCCATAAAGATTGTTCACTGAGTCAAGAGATTTGAAAGGCCTCTTCCCTCAAATTCCTTCAAGGGTCACCTTTACCTCTTGTACTTCTCTGCAAGTGTTTCTCTGCATGATAGACAGCCTCAGTCCCAGCAGACATCTCTGCTGTGTCATGGAGTGCCTCTGCAGGAGTAGCTTCCTCTGCTCTTCTTTTCTGTATCACCTCCTTTTTCCCCAGCTGTGGCAGATGTGAAGCTCAGTGATGGTGCTTTGGCCATGCTTTCTGCTCCCTGAGCCTCTGCCCAGCTGGGTGTACCAACTTTGGGCTCATTCTTGGCAAGAGAAGCCATGGGCTTTCATCTGCATTGTGCTTGGTGCTGACTGCTCCAGAAGTCAGGGGCTGGTTTTGCAGCATGCCAGAGGAAGATCATTACCTCTTGAGGTGCAGCCATGCTGCTGAGCTGGCAGCAACGTGCAGGGTGTGATCAGTGAGCCCCCCAGCCAGTTTTTTGGTCAGGAATCATTGGGTGCTCTGCCAGCAGCTCTGTGCTGGAGGCACTGAACCATGAAACTGATGCTTTGTGAAATATAATCTGTTTTGTGCAAATTTGATGGATTCACAGAATTTGCTGTTCCCAAAGATTGACCATTGAGAGGATAATGTTCCTTGGAAAAAAAAAATTATTCCAAAATTAATCATAGAGGTGATAAAATAGTTGGGGGACAAAGGCTGGATTGTGTAAGTGCACAAACTGTCATTTTACTTTGTTTCATTTTAGGAATGAAGTTCACCATAAGCTTGAAGAATTAATCAGGAAACTGACGAGTTGAGAAAGCTTTTTCTTTGACTTGGTTTTAGAGAAGAGTGGTGAAGATGTCCAGGTGTTGGAAAGGAAAATTACTTGTCAGTAGAATTGACTTGTTCAGGTTTAGGGCCAGAACATGCCCAGGGGGAAGTTACCAAAGCTCAGGCAGAAGGATGTCCTACTGGTAGGGGGCACAGAGGAGCCAAATTTCTGGGCCACAGAGACACTTGGCAAAACTCCCAAAATGAGGAAGAAATTGATAAAGCCAGTTCAGCAGCTGTGCTGAATTCAGCTCTGAATGGGTAGAAGGTAATTCTGGCAGGGGCACGTCAAGACTGCTGACTCACAGCCACCAACTCCAGAAGTCTCCTGACCCAGAGGAAGAGAAAGACTGAGCATGGGACTAATTAGCATAAGAAGCAAGGAAGTTGTTAACCAATGGAAGGCTAATCAATAAGAGAACTAGATGGCTTGTAGCCAATGAACATTAATGCCTTTGTTTGATAAAGTGTATTAATAGTAAACAGTTTTGCCAGTCTGGCTGGCTTTGGGGATTTGGGGGCTTTGGCCCCCAGCCCTCCTCTCTATGCTGAAGTGAAATTAATCTAATACCCAGACTCTGGGTGTGGATTGGCCTCTTTCACACTGGGTAAAAGAACCTGCTTGGGCCAACACTTGGATGGGGACTCCATGTGAACTGCAGCATGTCACACGTACCCAGCTTAGGGAGGAATTCCCTTGGAGTAAAGCTTGGGGTACTGCATGGAGGAGACAGTTTCGTTGTCTTGCACAGGTGACACATGTGATCTCTGCTGACTCAGATCTCAGCTCAGAGGTTTTACTGTGCAGTGTGACTGTCCTTTTGATCCATAAAGAACTTGTGTCTTACTCATTTCTCTAAGTGAATTCTGTAGGGAGATTCCCTCCTTTCCTATATCCTTTCAGTGAGCACCAGAATAGAAAGGACAAATCTCTGCTGAAAGCCCTGACAGATCTTCTTTTCAAACCTGCTGAGAGTTGTGGGCTTTCTGATCACATTAATGAAAAATAAAGCTATTGTCTCCCTTTTAATTTACAGCTCTCAGAGAAGGATAAACCCTGTGTGGATATTCAGGGCCTGACAGCCTCCACCATGGAAATCCTGCTGGACTTTGTATATACAGAAACTGTGCATGTGACAGTAGAAAATGTCCAAGAATTGCTTCCAGCAGCATGTCTGCTTCAGCTGAAAGGTAATTCAAAGATTAGCACAAATTGCATCATTGCTGCTGTTTAGAGATTTGGTTTGTTTGACCCTCTGTGCATGGAAGAGAGACTGGGGGGGGAATGATATTTATAAGTTGTTATGTCAAACTTCTCTTTTCTTGTGCGCTGTGGTCTCACTGGTAGAGGAACAGATCTGGATGAAAAACAAAATGGTAAAACAGGTTCCATTCTTTGGGCTACTGTACTTCTGCAGGAGTATTCCCAAGAGGAATTGTGAGCTGTATAGCCCATAAATGTTACAGCTCAGTTAGATTATTATAATAAGCAATCCTAGATGTCATTTTACCTGCCATCACATTATGTCTGGGTCAATAACAGTCTGGTTGTTGTCATTGCACATGCACCTATGGAGCTATCCCAGACAATTACCCCAAATCCCAGATTACCCAGATTATTAACCTTATAAAGGTTATCATAGACCTAGAAATCTGGTGCTGTGTCCACTAGCAGACACATTAGTGGTTTATAATCCATGAAGCTGAGTACAGCTCACATTGGAGTCTTCCTAGTATCAGATTGATGTCATTTTTTCATTGGAATAGAACAGCCAGAGCTCAAACCAGCCCAAACACATGGTCTAGCTGCTCCAAGTGTCTTCAGTCTCCAAAGCAATACATGCATGTATATGTTTCTGTAGTACTTTTACTTGTTATTTGGATTGGATTTTCATTATTGCTTAGAATTTTCTTTTCTGAAGCCCGTGCCGAAGCAGTGGATTGATAGTAAGCATGCAGTGCTCATTCACCCCTCCAATTTTCCGTAGGTGTGAAACAAGCTTGCTGTGAGTTTCTAGAAAGCCAGCTGGATCCATCAAATTGTTTGGGCATTCGGGATTTTGCTGAGACACACAATTGTGTGGATCTAATGCAAGCTGCAGAGGTCTTCAGCCAGAAACATTTTCCAGAGGTGGTTCAGCATGAAGAGTTTATCCTCTTAAATCAAGAAGAGGTTGAAAAGCTCATCAAGTGTGATGAAATTCAGGTAAAACCTGAAAAGTACCATTACTGTGCAAAGCTTTGAAATAAAACATTGACACCAGTCAGTAATTAGTCCACACTCCTGGGATGGACTCCTCACACAGTTCCTGAATTTGAAATTTAATTCTCAGGAGGTGTCAATTTTTATTTTTTCAAGTTTGTAATTTTATTAATACCGTGTAGCTTCTCTGTAAGAATTTGTTGTCACACAAGTGTTTCTTGCAAGTCAGTCACGGTGAGTTAGTTCCCTTTGCAGTTATTGGCCCTTCATTCCCTCCTTCTCCCTGGAGAAGATAAGTTCTCTCAATGCCTACATTTCAGAAATAGCCTCAAGCCTTAACTTCTGTTTGCCTGCTGATCTGCAGCACAAGGAATCCTGGGATGGTGCAGGGTGGTCTGACTCTGCCAGGGCTTACAGGGAGATTTAGTTCCCTGAAGGAGAGCTTCTGGAGGGTGTGCTATGTGACTAGAATGTGTCAAATACATTTTTCCAACTTTTCTATGAATAAGTTGAACACTCCCTGGTAATGAGGGGAGAGCTTGACTATTTATTGAGGTGGATTTTGTCAAGAGCTGATGTTCACTGCCGTGGAAAGGCTTGAAGCAATCACTGCTCAGAGTTCAGGGGAACAGGAATGCTTGGAGGCAAACCTGTGTATGTGATATCTTTGGTGGGATTCCTGAAAAGCCAGTGCAAGGGTAGCCAGAGCAGAACTGTTGATGTGTTCCTTGAAATTGGTCTTCAGCCATGCCAACATCCCCCTAGTGAGGCTGCTTGAGAAAAAGCATGTGAGGCATTGGTGAAAGACCCAGCTCCAGCAGGGATCTGCAGTGGGGAGGCTGAGTGTGCCTGGTGTTTGACAAGCTGCAGTTTTGTGCTGTGAGGGGCTGAGCTCCTCTGGGTTGTGATGCTACTAGGAGCAGCTTCTGGGCTGAGAGCAGAAAATAATGAGGAACTTCGGAATGACCCAGCCAAGCTTCTTGGATGATCTGCTCAGGAAAAGTGACATTCCTTATTGATTGGAAGGGCTGGGTCAGACCTTGCAGCAGGCAGTGTGTTGGGCATGCACTATTGTACCTTAAGAAGATGTGGCAAGTAGGGCAAGGGAGGGGATTCTCCCCCTCTTCTCTGTCCTTGTGAGTCGTCACCTGGAGTGCTGTGTCCGGGTCTGGGGTTCTCAGCATAAGAAACATGTGAATCTGTTAGAGGATCCAGAGGAGGCCACGGAGATGTTCTGAGGGCTGGAGCCCCTCTGCTCTGGAGCCAGGCAGGCAGAGCTGGGGGTGTTCACCTGGAGAAGAGACAGCTCCGGGGAAACCTTATAAAGGGGCTTATAAAAAAAGAGGAAGACTGACTTTTTGTGTGGGCAGAGAGTGATAGGACAAGGGGTAACACCTTTAAAGAGGAGAGATTTAGATTTGATGTTGGGAAGAAATTCTTCCCTGTGAGGGAGGTGAGGCCCTGGCACGGGGTGCCCAGAGCAGCTGTGGCTGCCCCATCCCTGGAAGTGTCCAAAGCCAGGCTGGACCAGGAGCAACCTGGTCTGCTGGAAGGTGTCCCTGCCCATGGCACGGGGTGGAATGGGATGAGCTTTAAAGTCCCTTCCAGCCCAGACCAGTCTGGGAAAAAGAGCAGATGTCTGTCCTGCTGTGCCAGCACAGAGGTGCTGTGCGGAATCAAGAGCGTGGTAAGGGAACACCCTCAGAAAATCTCTGGGCTGCTCAAGAACTGCAATGACAGGTCCTCACTGTGATCCTGCATTTAGTGTTACTCATAATTTATCAGAAAACATAAATGATTCAATGAGCAGTAAAACTGTTAAATATATCTGAGGACATTCAGTTCAGGAGGGAATAAATCAACACAGGATTATTGCATTTAAAGAGGAGGTAGGGAAATTGGAAACAATACAGTAGTCTGCTCTCCTTTTGTGAGCTTTAATTGTCCTTCCTCTGTAATTCCAAGAGAAAGAGGCCATTCCAAATTACACTGTAACAAATATAAAACAATGGCGTAGAAGAATGCCTTACATAATTAACCTCTGTGGCTCCCTGCTTCAAAACATTCTGCCTGACAGCTTCAAACTGGATTTCAAAGGGGACCAGTCATAGGCTGGTGGGAAGGCTCAGTCCTTTCATCACAGGCTCTTCTTTTATCTTCATATTTAGTCTCAGTTAACAGACTGTCTGATAATAAATTCATGTCTGATTTCCTTTTACATCGGATGATCTGATAGATCTGGCAAAAGAAAACAAAGTCTAAGTAATATATAATTCATATATATGTGTGTAAATAAGAAGTAATGTATAACTCATATATATATATGTATGTATGAGATTTTTACAGTTCTTTTGCTTTTGGTAATCATAGGTGTCCAAAGCACCTGTGGTTCTCTAACAGGATCAAATTTGCATGATTTAGTCAGTGTAATCTCCAGAAGTGGTGTAAACACCAGCATGTGCTTGTCCTAAATGGAGACAGAAATAAACTAGTGATAAAATATAATAAACGGTAGAAATAAACAGTAGCATTCATGCCCTGGGATTCTGCACGCTAAAATCCTTTGCAGTTTTTAAAAGGTGGATTGAAACCTTAAATGTACCTGCTCTGGCCAGAGTGTCTGAGGGGCACAGGGCTGCCAGGACCTAGGGCAGACACTTTGCTGTGCAAAGGGAACATGATTCTAATTATCTCTTTGATGGCACTTTGAATTTTGCAGGATCACAGCTCCTGCTCCAGAGAACTGGGGGAGCTGTCCTGGGAGTTCCCACTGGTCAGTGGATGGAGCTCTCAGCTCCAGGCTCTGCTCCTCACCGTACTGCTCACTGCTCTGGGACTTGGACTGCCCGTGGCTGATCTCAGCTGCAGGGGAAAAGGCAAACGCAGGTTTAAGGAAAAGAAAGTGAGGGAATTCAGTGTGCTTCTGGGGATGTCCCTGAGGGACTCGTAGCTGAAGTGTCCTGCTGCCTTGCTCGCTGTGAAGCAGTGCAGCAGCTGGACGTTGTGTGCTCCATGGCAGTAGCTCCAGCGTTCTGCTGCTGATCAGGACGTGCCTCCTGTGTGCAGGTGGACTCGGAGGAGCCGGTGTTCGAGGCGGTGATAAACTGGGTGAAGCACTCGAAGAAGGAGCGTGAGGCGTCGCTGCCGGAGCTGCTGCAGTACGTGCGCATGCCGCTGCTCACGCCGCGCTACATCACCGACGTCATCGACACCGAGGTACAGGGCCACTCCTGCTCCTGCCGGGCTCTGCTGGCCCCCACGACGTTTGCAGAGCCCTTTCTCTGCTGCCGCTGTTTGGTGGCACTGAGCAGCTGTCCCTGCTCAGCGCTGCTGCCACGCTGAGCCGTGTTTGCTGTGCCAGCAGTCACAGCCGCAGGGTGCCCTCTCAGAGCCATTAGTCAGCTGTCTCTGCAGATATCCACAGCACCTTTCTGTTGTCATCTCTTACAGTCTCCAAGTGCTTTCTGCCTTCATTCCTAGGCGCTGGCAGGTCCCCTTCCCCAGGCTGAAGATTGCTGCCATTGATCTCAGGGACGTCATGGCTCCTCAGAAGGTGTTTGAGGTGCAGATGGCCAGCAAGTACCTCTGAGTAAGAAAGACAGCAGCTGTGTGAGTCCTGGACCAACACACAGCCAAGAGCCATGGCTAACGCTGCTGCTTTGTGTTCTGAGATGCTGCAGAGGCAGCCCAAAATGGGGACAATGCAAAGTGACAATTGAGCTTTTAAGTGCAAATTGAATTCCAGACAGGAAGTGACCCCAGGCAAGATTTCAAAGGAAGGCCCAGAGGTCAAACCAGCCTTCAGGTTAGATGGTGATAGGATGTACTCAAGGGTTACTACCCCTTGTCACCTGACAGGTGCTGAGTGGTGAATGACAGACAGGAAAAGGCTGATTTAGCAACAGTCATCTAAGATGTGATAGATCATGGAAGTTATTAAATCAGGACAACCTAATGGGCTGTTGTGTTAGATTGTACCAGAGCTAAAGGATGTTCAGTTAGATTATCGTGGTCCCTTTCAAACTGAAATTTAAGCTAATGGAAAGGGGTCTGGTGCCAAAACAAACAGATCTGTTCCAAATCCAGCCTGAGACAGAGTGTGTACTGCCCTCAGCTCTCACAGGGAACATGGAGGGTCTGTCAGTGCCACACACTGGTGGCACATCCTCAGCTTGGGGCAGTATGGAGAGTGGAGCATTGGCCCCATGTGGCTGCCTCACACAGACACCAGGAGCCTGTAGAGGCTGAGTCTTACTGAAGCAGCATGTACACCCAACACCCAAGGGAAAATGTGTGCTGAGCTTAAGGGAGGTTTGTCCAGGCCCTTGGCTAGGGAAGGGAATTACACAGCACTGTGCAAGGAGATGAGGCTGTCCTTGGGTGTCCCTCACTCTTCAACAAGACCTCAGTGCTCCTGTTGCCTCTTCACAACTCCATGTCCCATGTGCACAGTGATCAGCTAAACAGTTTCATTGTGCTGTGCTCTCCCTCTCTTTTCCAGTGGCAGGTGCAGGACAAGTTATGTGGGGCACATCAAATGTGGTTTCAGCTAAACAGTTTCATTGTGCTGTGCTCTCCCTCTCTTTTCCAGTGGCAGGTGCAGGACAAGTTATGTGGGGCAGATCAAGTGTAGTATCACTGCCAGTTCCCCTTCCTAGTCATACTTCTGCTGGCTTAAATGGAGCAGAAGTGGCTTCTCCTTAGTGTTCCAATGCAGCCATTTTCTTTAAGGAGCCTTCAGTGCCAGACTGTGAGGATGGAGCCATATCTTAGCTGCAGTCTGGTCTTCAGTTGCATTTGCATTTCCCTGCATACAGTATCTACACCAGGACCCGCACACAAGTCCTTTTCATGCTGTCTGAGCTGATGAGAGTTGGCTTTAGGACAGTTCTTCTGAGGTTTCTTAAAATACATTGCATGTACCAGTGACTCATGTTTCTCCCCAGCCTTTCATCCGCTGCAGCCTGCAGTGCAGAGACCTCGTGGACGAAGCCAAGAAATTCCACCTTCGGCCCGAGCTCCGGAGCCAGATGCAAGGACCCAGGACACGAGCACGTCTGGGTGAGCAGCAGAGGAAGGGACCCTGAGAGGGGCCAGGGCACTGGCAGGTGTTGTGTCAGGCACTTGTCTAATGCCTTGTGACTGTGTGGATGTTCTTCACAGCAGTAACTTGTCATGCCATGGTCCCCAGCGGGACAGAGAGGGGACTGGAGCAAAGGAGAGAGGTGCCTCTTTTATAGAGTACGATTGCTTAGTGCCAGTGTGGGGACTAGCACATTGCCTGTAATCCCAGGCCCTGCTGTGGCCTTAAAACCAGTTTCCTGAGTTGCTGGTGCCTGCAGATACATTTGTCCCAGCATGCAGCTGTCCAGGAAGTGTGGGAAGAATTTCTTCATGTCTGAAGAGGCAGGTATCAAGAGTCCAAAATAAAGCTGTGAGGTGAGTGACAGCTGCCTTACAGTGACAGCAAGTTTCCACAGAGAATGGAACTGGGGAAGGTGCAAGGAGGGAAATGGAGATGTCCCTCTTCCCCTTCAGAGGTGCTTTTCTTTTTCTCCCTAGTTTTGTTAAGGCAAAGAAATGATATCTTCCTTTATTTCAGTAACTCCTATCAAGCACAGTCACTGAATTGTTTGGAAAATGCCTGTCTTAGGGCTGTGAGCACTCAACAGCTGCAGTCTGGTCTTCAGTTGCATTTGCATTTCCCTGCATACAGTATCTACACCAGGACCCGCACACAAGTCCTTTTCATGCTGTCTGAGCTGATGAGAGTTGGCTTTAGGACAGTTCTTCTGAGGTTTCTTAAAATACATTGCATGTACCAGTGACTCATGTTTCTCCCCAGCCTTTCATCCGCTGCAGCCTGCAGTGCAGAGACCTCGTGGACGAAGCCAAGAAATTCCACCTTCGGCCCGAGCTCCGGAGCCAGATGCAAGGACCCAGGACACGAGCACGTCTGGGTGAGCAGCAGAGGAAGGGACCCTGAGAGGGGCCAGGGCACTGGCAGGTGTTGTGTCAGGCACTTGTCTAATGCCTTGTGACTGTGTGGATGTTCTTCACAGCAGTAACTTGTCATGCCATGGTCCCCAGCGGGACAGAGAGGGGACTGGAGCAAAGGAGAGAGGTGCCTCTTTTATAGAGTACGATTGCTTACTGCCAGTGTGGGGACTAGCACATTGCCTGTAATCCCAGGCCCTGCTGTGGCCTTAAAACCAGTTTCCTGAGTTGCTGGTGCCTGCAGATACATTTGTCCCAGCATGCAGCTGTCCAGGAAGTGTGGGAAGAATTTCTTCATGTCTGAAGAGGCAGGTATCAAGAGTCCAAAATAAAGCTGTGAGGTGAGTGACAGCTGCCTTACAGTGACAGCAAGTTTCCAAAGATAACTGAACTGGGGAAGGTGCAAGGAGGGAGATGGAGATGTCCCTCTTCCCTTTCAGAGGTGCTTTTTTTTTCTCCCTAGTCTTGTTAAGGCAAATAAATGATAATATCTTCCTTTATTTCAGTAACTCCTACCAAGCACAGTCAGTGAATTTTTTGGAAAATGCCTGTCTTAGGGCTGTGAGCACTCAAGAGCAACATAAAAATAGGACTGACCTACAGAAGAAGGAAAAGTATTTTACTGGCTTCTTCTGTGCCATGCCTGTGTCCTGGTGCACTTTCAGGGCACTGCCATTGGTGCCAGCATGGACCACTCTCCCTGCAAGGAATCCTCTGTGTGCTGCTGCAGGTGTGATGGAGGGAGATTCCAAAGTGCCTTCGTGGCCTTTTTTAGGGGACAGAAAGCTGTTTAACCACAAAAGGAGGAGGGCAGATTAGGTTTGTCAGAGACACACTGATCAGACTTTGTTGGCCTGAAGGGAATGTTGTTATTCTGTTCCTGCATGGTCCAGGCCTCAGCACATTTTGTGGGAATTTCTGTCCCAGTGTACTTGAGCTCAGCCTGTCATGGCATCAGCTTTCCAGTACCTGAAGGGACCTACAAGAAAGCCAGAAAGGGACTCTTCATCAGAAACTGCAGCAATGTGACAATGGGGAATGGTTTCACACTGAAAGAGGGGAAATCTAGGAAAGAAATTCTCCCCTTAGAGGGTGAGGAGGCCCTGGCACAGGTTGCCCAGAGCAGCTGTGGTTGTCCCATCCCTGGAAGTGTCCAAGGCCAGGTTAGACAGGGCTTGGAGCAGCCTGGGCTACTGCAAACTCTCCCTGAACATGGAATGATATGAGCTTTGAAATTTTTTTCCAACACAAACCATTTTGTGATTCTATAATTTTAGAATAACACATTTCATTTTATTCTTAGTTGAAACACTTCACCTGATAAAGAAGACATTAAAAACTGTTTTAGTCTAAATATACAGGTTAAAACTGCACATTATTGTTGAGGTTCATCCTTTGGATTCAGCCCTAGCTCTTTTAATTGATTCCATACCATCTGATATCAGCAATCTGTCGCTTATAAACTGATCAAGGCATGTATTGACTTTGCATGGGAGGAACTGAAGTGATTGCACTTTTAGCTTTCTTACTGGAAGGGAGGTTTTCCAAGATGTTGGAGCTCTTGTGAATCCTTCCCAGTTTTTTATATTATTCTTCATCTGAGGTAGCAGCTTTTCTGCTTTGTGACAGACAAAGTCTTGTTAATTTTTCTTGCTTGGTCCTTGTGCAATGAAAGGCTGAACAGTCCTAAATTCTAGTAATAAACTCCCTGTTCCAGAAAAGGCCCAAGGAGTCAAGGGGATCCTAAGCTGTTCTAAACTTTAGACAGAAGCCTGCTTCCAGGCAGTGATTAGAGGGGAAGTTACAACTCTCCAGGTCACAGCTGTTATTAGCAGTCATGGAGGAAATGAGAAAAATTCAGAGAATTCATCTCAGAGAATATAGAGGGAAGGCAATTTTGAAATAAAATACACAAGATTTAAGAGACAATTCCTGGGAAAATATTTAATTAGTTTTCCAAGCTTCAGACAGCCTGACTTGTTTCTCAGTTACGTGGTGAACAAAGTCCCCTAAATCAGGTCTGGATGTCACTTGAGACCAAGAGGAGATTTTGTGTTGTGAGGAGGCTGTAGGGAAGCAGCCATTCTCCTACAGATCCTGTGGGGTGGTGAGAGGTTTGGGGAAAACAGCAGAAAGGGTACAAAAGAAGATAAAAAGGAGTGAACTTCAGCACCTCTCTGAGGCAGCTTGTCTTTTCAAAGTGCCTCTGATGTTACGAGAAACAGCCCTCCAGCAGCCAGCTCCTAACACCTCAGTCAACTGTCTGCCACATGCTCTGAAGAGTTTCTCCCTTCTCTTTCTTGCTGAGCACAGAGGGAGTGTGAGTGCCTGGGCCAGGTTAGATCCCTTCTCCAGAGCTGAGACAAAAACAGGGATTTAGAGGCAGCTGTGTGCCAGAGAAGGCTCAGAGTTTCTACAGGTTGTTCCCCTGAGGTGACCCTTTGGTTGTGAAGGGATTGACTTGGCTTTGCTGTCCCTCTGTGCCTCAGGAGCTAACGAAGTGCTGCTCGTGATCGGCGGCTTCGGCAGCCAGCAGTCCCCCATTGATGTGGTGGAGAAATACGACCCCAAGACCCAGGAGTGGAGTTTCCTGCCGGTAAGGGACTGGTTCTGACCCCCACTGGTCTGACCAGGCTGGGAGCAAACTGATCCTGCAGCATCAGCTGGATAACAATCTCCTTGGGCTGTCCTGTACAATCTGCTGAGGATTTCTGACAGAAATTCTTTCGAGATTCACATGGAGAATGCTGAAACCACTTCAGCTTGCAGAGTGACTGAGGGAGAGGGGGTTGTTGTCATAGACCTGATCAGCTGAGCCTGCAGAGACCCACATCTTGGTTGTGGGAGTGAGAACTATCATGTTTCTTAGTGAAGGGGTGTGAAGCTTTAAGGTTAGTGATGATAATTGGAATGTCAATAGGAACCATGTAATCAGTGCAGTCTTCAGGCTGCTGCATGATCCCACTGCTTGCTGTGTTTTGGAGCATAATGGGAAGAGAGAATTCCTGCACTGAGAAGTATTTCTATGCAAATTAAAATCACGTTTATCTGTGTGATGTGGTGGAGAACTGCCTCTTCTTCACTATCACCAGTCAGGGCAGACTCAGTATCACCTGGTGTCCAAAATTCTGATTTTTTTTGGAGGCTAAAAGCTTCATCAAATATTCAGAGTCCCTACTTTTTCCCATTACCAGTGGGAGGCTAACAGATTCATCCCAGATGCATCAGAGGTTATGCAGCAGCACGGGATAAATGACATTCAGTGTGAAATATTGAATGCAGAGAGACACGGTCCTGAGAAGAGAGCACAGCCGGGGGAGGCAGGCACAGTCACTCGGGCTGTGTCCTTTACATCCATGGTGGGGGTGGCAGTGGGCCATTTCCCAAAGGAGCAGCAGCAGGGGGTGGAAGAGCAGGGGGTGGTCTCCATGCCCAGCGCTGTCCCTGTCTGTGACCCTGGTGTTGCTTTGCTGTCCCAGAGCATCACCCGCAAGCGGCGCTACGTGGCCACGGTGTCCCTGCACGACCGCATCTACGTCATCGGCGGCTACGACGGCCGCTCCCGCCTCAGCTCCGTGGAGTGCCTGGATTACACGTCGGATGAGGATGGCATCTGGTACTCCGTGGCTCCCATGAACGTGCGGCGAGGGCTGGCGGGAGCCACAACCCTTGGAGGTGTGTCCTGGTCACTGCCGGGGCAGAACAGCCTGTTCAGCTCTGGCCTGAGATGCCCTGAGCTGCTGTGTGAAGAGTGGGCAGGCTCTGGGGGAGGAGGGGAGCCTGAGATTCTGCCTTCTCATCACTGGGATGCAGAAATGGAAAACTTGCCCACATATCCTGAGAGGAGCTCTGCCTCCGCTGCATTCCTGCAGCATGTGTCTGTGAACTGGGGGAAAGGGGCTCTCTGAGACATAATGGAGTGGGAAGCTCTGAGGGTGCTGACAGTGTTGGGCAACACTGAGCACATGACACCAAGTACAGCTGTGACCATCCAGCACTGGAGTGACTGGAACATCTGCAGGGAAGGAGTGAATACTTCGGGGAGGTACTGACATGAGGCTTGCCATAGGCAGGGTTTGGGTTTGGGCATGGCAGTGCTTCAGTGGTTCTGCAGCATGAAAAAAAAGTAGCTGGATTGTGTGTGTTCTCTTTCATTCATCAGCAAGAAGCAGATTTAAGGGCCAGATGGAAGTTGTGTGTGTTTGTTGGGCCTGTGAGCCAGGCTGAGGAGCCTGGGTTCATCTTGGCTCCCAGTGTGCCCGGTCTGTTTGCTGTGGTTTGCAGTCATGTTGCAGCTTTGCTGTGTGTGTGAGGGCCCTGGTGCTGCATGCCCCTGGCTGACTGGCTGGGTCCCACCTCTGTCCCTGCAGACATGATCTACGTTTCGGGTGGCTTCGACGGGAGCCGCCGCCACACCAGCATGGAGCGCTACGACCCCAACATCGACCAGTGGAGCATGCTGGGAGACATGCAGACAGCACGGGAGGGAGCGGGGCTCGTGGTGGCCAATGGAGTCATCTACTGCCTGGGTAGGTACCCTCTGCACCTCTGAGAGCTGTGCACAGCCTGCCTTTTACCCAAGTGACCATTCAGGTGCTGCCTGAGCAGCCCCAACCTGTCAGGTCTGTGTTAGAAGAGGTTTAACTCACTGGGCACTCACAGCTGTATCAGTGAGGGCTGCCTGACCTCACTGTGCCTGCACAATGGCTTGGACTGCAGCTGCCACATTTACTGCAGAGAATGCTGCACACTGCAAATTAAACACAATTTACACACACTGCATTTGAGGGATGCCAGAAGTGGGGAGGATAAGCAATGCCAACTGAGACTTTGTGTGGCCTAGGCAGTGTCTAAATGCCCAGAGATGAAGCAGGTAGCTGTGGGACAGAGGGTGCACCTGCAATGGTGGCTGTAGTGCTCCAGAAATGTATCCTGAGCTGTGTGTTCTCCAGCTTCTTCCTGTAGCGTGCATTTCAGTTTCAGAGCACTACACCAGCTGTGAATATACTGAGATTGCCAGAGGACAGAACACTGAAGCTTGTTCTGTGGGTCACCTTCTAGGCCCCAGAAAAGGCAGGCCCAGCATTGCACCCACCTCTGTTGCAGTTCTGTTCCTGGGGAGTCACAGATCTTGGCACTGGTTTCATAGAACCACTGAATGGTTTGGGTTGGAAGGAACTTCATCTCATTCCACCTCCTACCATGGGCAGAGACACTTTCCATTAGACCAGATTGCTCCAAGCCCTGCCCAACCTGGCCTTGAATAAACCAACCACGTTCATTCCTCTTCCTCTTGCTGTTCCAGGGTGGATGGCAGCACACTGCTCCTCTGCTGGGGCTGCACAGAGGTTTTAGTATCTACTTGTGAAACTGCTCTTGAGAGAGCCCAGCCTCCACCATTCAGCCTTGTGCAGCTGCAGCACAGACCTGGGAGCTGCACATCTGCAGGGCTGCACTGCAGTGGCCTCAGTGTGCTGAGGCAGCTCCATGGGGCTGGCCTGGTTTGCTGGTTTGGGGAGGTGATGCTCTCCCACATGGCCCAGTGCAGTGTGGGGGCAGAGCTGGCTCTGGGCTGGCTGCAGGATCCTCTGCCCCACCAGGATGGGCTGTGCTGATGGCAGTGCCACGCCGTGCTCAGGGCCCACCAGCCATGGTACTGCTCTCTGCACAGAAATCATTCTCCCCAGGGCAGCCTCATAGTTTGCTCCTGTGTTTTGTTTCAGGAGGCTACGATGGGCTGAACATCCTGAATTCTGTCGAGAGGTATGACCCCCACACTGGACACTGGACAAATGTCACCCCAATGGCCACTAAGCGCTCAGGTAAGAGCCCACAGTGTCACCGCTGGGTCAGAAATGACACGGATAAATGAGTGACACACTCCATGCCTTTTCAGAGGGCTAATAACAATTTTATTAGGAACCCATTCCTTTTTATACTCTAGCTCCCTACAGGTGGACCTGATTGGTCCTTTAACCAAAACACCATCACCACTGGCTAATTAAGAGGACATTCATCTGTAAACAGCCTTATGGGAAAACAACTTATTACAAACACCACCTGTGGATTGTTTAGTATTTGGCTATCATTCTTTCTCTCCAGCCCCGTCAGACCAATTCATGGGAAAGCTTATCTAGCTTTCTCTCTCTGACCAGACTGTCACATCCACACCCACAGTGCCTTAAGGCTCTGCTGCCCTGGAGGATGCTCTGGCCCCAGTGGGTGGGTTGGCTTTGAGAAAGAATGATTTTACTGGCTTGAATTCCCAAGAGAAATACTAATTTTCACATGCCTCCATCCCAGGCCAAGGTGTGTACAGAGGAATGCAGTGGCAGGATTGCAGGTTACAGGGAGGCAGATGAAATGCTGGGTGACTTCATGCCAGGCATTGCTCCTAGCTGTGGGAGCAGAGCTCCCAAGGCACAAGCTGACCACAGTACTGGGTCAGTGCTCATCAGCTGCATGGGGCATGGTGAGGGCAGGTGTGCCCTGCCAGGCTCCTTCACCTGAGCCCAGCTCCAGGGCAGCACTGCCAGAGCAGTGTCACCCAGCAGTGGCCTTACACAAATGGTGCAGTCACACAATAATTATCCCCCACCAGCTCTTCACTTGTCTCTCTGCCTGGTGTTCTGTCCAAGCTTTAAGTTGGCAGTTGTATCTAGGACAAAAATGCAGTTTAAATCCTGCTTTTGGAGTATCTTTCTGTTTAAATCCTCCTTCATTTCTCAGAGGGGTTGTCGTGGGGCTCCTGTAGCTCCTGTGTTGACCTCCTGCTCTGTGCCTCAGGCTTCCTGCCCTGCTCTCCAGGGCTCCATCCTCCTTCATTTCTCAGAGGGGTTGTCGTGGGGCTCCTGTAGCTCCTGTGTTGACCTCCTGCTCTTGCTGTGTGCCTCAGGCCTCCTGCCCTGCTCTCCAGGCTATGCTGGTGGGCTGCCCTGGCCCTGCCTGTGTGTGCACACCTGTGTGTGCCTCCCAGTGCTTACAGTTAGTTACATGCTTGGACCCTCTTCCAAATCCCTTTTGAAGTTGCTTTTTCTCTGCTTCTTTCAATAACTGGCCCTCACAGTCAGCCTGGGCAGCACTGCTCCATGTGATCCCTGTGCAGTGGTCCTGGTTAGGGACAGGGTACTCAATAAAACTGGGCTCTGTTGCAAAAACATTTCCGTTTTCTTGTGCCTGCAGTGACACTCAGCAAAACCTCAATCTTTAAATATTTGTTACTGTGACAGGGATATTCCTGCTAAGTGTTGGTTTATCTGCCAAGAATGGATTTTATTTAGGAGTTGGGCACTTTCCACATCCAGGAAGGCCATACATATAAAACACAGGATAAAATCTGCAGGTTTTTCTAGGTCAGAGGCACTGTGTGAGGTTAATCCATGAATCTGTAGGAAGCTTGAGGATCAGATGGCTTTCCTCAAGGGGCCTGCTTTGGGCACCAGAGAAGGCTGACTTTGGACAAGACCAAAAGCAGAGTTCAAGCTTTCTACAGCAGGTATTTCCTAGGTCTGTGCTCCCCACAGGAGCTGGAGGCTTTAGTGGCTGTGCCTTGGCTGCAGCATGAGCTCCTTGGTGCCACAAGCCAGCCGGAACCTGGTGAGGCTCTTGACCCCAGCACTGGCTCACCTGGTTCCTTCCTTGGCACTGTGACGTGGAGAACCAAGATCTGAAACGTGGGTGTGCCCAAGGGCCTTTCTTTGCTCAAGTTTTTGTGCTGCCACTCTGGTAATGACACCCCAACTACTCACATCTTAGGTGTGAGTGCTGGTGACCTTGGACCCTGCAGGATTTCTTTTGTCCCCAAAAAACCCTCCAAGATCTATCCACGTGCAGGTGTTTGAATTCCAAGACCAGGACAAAGAGTAATTGTGGCTTTATTCACAGAGATCATTTCCTCCTTGTTTCTTTAAATCTCTTAGGACAGGTTCTGGAGAGAGGCTACCTCAGAGACCTTGGCCACGTTGCATTGCTGAACCCAATTTCCCTGATTAGGCCTTGGTTTGGTCTCTTCAGCCAAAGCTCCTGGAGAGCCCAGTGGGCCAGCCTGGCCATTCCCAGCTGTTCTGGGGCTCTCAGCAAGGACAGGCAGGCAAAGGCAGGATGTGTTTAGGGGAACAGAAGGTCTCTTATGCTATATTTGTAAAGAAACAGATCCATGCCAGGGTAGCTGGCTCATTTCCTTCAGGATATTCATTAGTGCAAGGGTTCCATGTGGGTGGTGACAGCCTGACAGGGCTGACTGTGCAGGAGCAGGAGCCCCTGAGGCCACTGAGTGCATGGTAATGTCACAGTGTCCTCCAGTGCTGTACCTGAGGGGTTGCCAAGGAGGAACTAGGGCTGGTGGGGGTTATTCTGGTTTCATAAACTCCCAGTGGGAGCAGCATATTATGATCTGCTTTCACTGTGAGAACACCTGTTCAGGCAGCTGCTCCAGCCACCTTTGCCTCTGCAACAATGTAGAAACCAGTTTTCATTTTGTCTTGCAGAGGAGTAATGTCAGGGAAATCCGTCCTCCAGCTTTGCATGGAGCAGTGTGCCCCTACTCTCCAGGAGCTGAGTGACACCAGGGACTCAGCAGCACCAGAGGAGCCTGTCTCTGGCTGACAGCCCCAGCCAGCTGCCTGCCAGCAGAGCGGGCCTGGTGCTGCTCTGCTCACACACCTGTGGTCAGCTGTCAGCCCAGGTAAACCTCCGGTGCTGCCCAGCCCCCATGCCACAGACTCACCAGTGTTCAGTGGAGTGAGATGTTTTCATGTTTCATATTGGAGACAACAAAAACAGAAAACACGGTTGTCAGCACTTTTGGGGAGGTACAAGTGTAAAAAATGTCCAGTGGAGAGGGAGGAATTGACCTGTTCACCTTGTGGCAGCGAGCCCAGTGCTGCCGTGTCACTCGTGGGTGTGACTGTGCCACCTTCCCTCCGCAGGGGCTGGCGTGGCTCTGCTCAATGACCACATCTACGTGGTGGGCGGGTTCGATGGCACAGCACACCTCTCCTCGGTGGAGGCCTACAACATCCGCACCGACTCCTGGACCACGGTGACCAGCATGACCACGCCGCGCTGCTACGTGGGGGCCACCGTGCTGCGGGGCCGGCTCTACGCCATCGCCGGGTAAGCCCAGGGCCCTGCAGCTCTGCCTGCTCAGCCAGTGACCCCCGGGGACACAGCTGCTGCCCCTTCCATGGGCCTCTCCTCTGTGAGAGGAGACACCCACAGGGTCGCTGTGCCCAGCCAGAACAGGCAGCAAAAAAGGTCCAGGGCCCAGGCAGGCAGCAGACAGCAATGGCAGCCTGATGCAGGGGTTATAATTTGGGCTATTCCAGCCTCCCAGGAAGAGCTCTGAATGCCTCAGCCTCTTCCTCCAGCATCACCCTTCATGTGTAACTTTCTGTCCTGGCAGATACGATGGCAACTCCCTGCTGAGCAGCATCGAGTGCTACGACCCCATCATTGACAGCTGGGAAGTGGTCACCTCCCTGGGGATGCAGCGCTGCGACGCGGGGGTCTGCGTCCTTCGGGAGAAGTGATCAGGAGGGAGCTCGCAAAGAAAAACATTCTAAAATGTCTCGGCTGGAGGAAGAGTCCCAAAATGATTTGCAGTGACTGTTCTTGAGAGTTGTGGATGCTATGGGAATAGGCACCAGAACAGCAGCTTTCTGTGCTGCTTGTGACTAGAGCATGTGCATAACTGTGTGATCTCAGCAGTCATTTGAAATCAGGGGCTCTGTGGGAAGCTGGAGGAAGGGGATGAATGGGTCAGGAGAAGCTGCACTCTCTGCTGTTCCTGTGGCTCAGTCTGTGGGCAGAGCAGAGTTGCCCCAGCCTGGTCTCAGCCAGCCTGGTGACCCCTCCCAAGGACATGTACATAGCCCTGGGTCACCTGTTCAGCCGCCGCAGGACCCCGCGGGTCCTCGGGTCGCTCTCAGCCGTGTGGGTGTGTGAGGGTGAGTCCAGCTGCTCTTATGTTCCAGCTTCAAATCATCGTGTACATCCTGAATGTTCCGACGCGCTCCCTGAGCACACGTGGCTGCAGAGCCAGGCTGGGTGACGTGAGTGAGGGCCCTGCACTGTCACTGTGTCTGCAGGGTCCTTGCAGCGCTGCACGCAAAGGAGTCGAAGGTTAAAGCTGTCAGCTACTGTGACCAGAGCCTGAGGCCACAGGGACAGAGGCAGGGGAGGAGCTCATTGCCTGCCACAGAAGCATCTGCCGTGTTTGTGCTCTCAATCAGGTGCTCAGCAAGGTTCATCACATCGTGTTTCCTCAAAAAGCTTGACAGCTCCAGCTGCAAATGATGTGTGGCACCGGGAGCTTGGCCGTGCCTGTGCCCCACCCTGTGAAGAGGCCACCTGAGCTGAGGCCAGGAGAGCAGGGACACAGTGGCTGCTGCCCACCAAGGTCCTGCTGGGTGAGTCACTGGGGTTTGTCCCCAGACAGGCCTGAGTCCAGCACACCCAAGGCAGCCTTTCACTCAAGTTCATTGTGTTGGTTTTCCTTTTATCTAGGATTTTTCTGCTTCCAGGGCTGTTCTGGAGTGACATCCAGGATTCTGTTTTGCCCTTTGTTCTCAGCTGTTTATTCCCCTGTCTCATAACTCCACATCCTGTGACACTTGCTATCCCTGGCCTGCCCCATGAGCCCAGGTGAGGCTCCACCAGTGGCTCACAGCAGCTTGTGGAGCACTCCCTGCTCAGCATGTCCTGCCTCACTGCGTTCCTGGGAGCACGGGCTCCCCTCTGCCATCAGCTTGGCCCCACAGTGCCTGGGCTCCATGTAGTGCTGCTCGTTGAGCTTCCTGCTGACTCCTTGCTTGGGGACAGGGTGGGATCAGGGACGTGGTAGCATGACCTAATTATGCACTTTCAGCCAATGCTCTGACCTTCTGCGTTTGTTTCTATCACACAAGTGTTCTGTGGTTTCGTTTCCTATGTTTATTTTTTAATGAAAGTATAAAGAATAAAATATTTCCTGAGCCAGTAGGAGTTTAGCTTCTGTTCTCTACCTTCCAGACATATGTCTGACTACTGTGGAGGGTTTGTGCAAACCCTGTGTTAGACAAGCAGCTACCCTCAGGTGTGTCTCTGCTTGCAGCTTCAGCCCAGTAGTGAAAAACAGCTGCTCCAGCTGTAAGATCTGTGGCACAGAGACCAGCCAGGCCTGGAGGACTGCCTAATGAGAGAATTTCTTGCAAGGTCTGCTGGAGAAGGGCATGGAGCAGAGAGGAGGAAAAGACTACAGTTACAGTCAACAGCAATAATGAATCATCAGGGCTGAACACAAGCCCAGGTGTGCCCAGGTGGCCAAGAAGGAAATGGCCTCAAGTTGTGCCAGGAGAGGTTCAGGCTGGATATTGGGGAAAATCTTTTCCCTGAAGGGCTGACCAGACCCTGGCACAGCTGCCCAGGGCAGTGGTGGAATCACCATCCCTGGAAGTGTTCAAAAGACCTGTGGATGTGGCCCCTGGGGACGTGGGTTAGTGCTGAACGTGGCAGTGCTGGGGAAATGGTTGGACTCAATGATCTTAGAGGCCTTTTCCAAATTAATCAATTCCATAATTCTAATACTGTTACAGTAGAGCTGCAGTTGCAAAAAATTACAGCTCCTTTGTCCACCACGGCCATGTGGGATGAATGGTGTCCACCACAGCCCAGCATTAATTCATCTGTCCATGTGCAAAACACAGATTCTCTCGGTTTCAGGGCAAACTGAAGCATTCTGCCCAGGAGCCTCTGATGGCTCCAAATCCTCCCCCTGCTACCTGATCCCCCCATAAACAGCTCACCACTCATTCCAGATGTTCAGGAGCCTCTCCTGACACCTGCCCCCAAACTGCTCCATCATTCTTTAGCCAGTGAGAAGTGGGGAAGCAAAGAAGGGAACAGGCCCTGTTTCGGGAGTGCAGCACTCACGAGGAAGCACTCACTGGTGCCATCCATGGCTCTGCCCCACTTGTGCCCCTCTGACACGTGCAGGGAGAGTTCCCAGGCTCTGATGCTGACCTTGGAGCGGTCTGTAGCTGCTCTCCCTTCCCTGATGAGCCCTGCTCCTCTGCAGAGGGCTCAGGAGGATTCAGCTCCAAAAGTGACATGACCAGTGTGTGGCTGGGCAGAAGCTCAGCGGTTGGGCAGATTGAAGCAGCAGCAGAACTGGGTCACAGCAGGATGTGACCCCGTGAGAGCAGCCAGCAGACCCATCCCTGCCTTTCCACAACAGGATGTACTGAAGGGTTTGAAGAGGAACTGGTGTTTCCAAGGAGGTAATGCACAACATAAATCTTCAAAATGCTCCATGTTGGTGCTGGAGATGAGAAAATGTCCAGGCTCCTGCTGAAAGCAAAACAAAGGGATAAAACATTCTGCCTGGGAGTAAGCTGGTGTGATTCTCCCTGGCCAGCAAGAGTGAGGCTTTTCTTCATGAATGATCCAGCAGAAAATGCTAAAAGGCAGAACTAAGGGTGAGTTTTCAACAGAGAAAACTCCCATCCAAGACTTAAGAATTGGCCAAAGATCTTTTTAGGGGGTTTTTATTTACCTCTTTGACTGTCCACAATCTTATATGTAAAAATCAATACAACCAATGTAATAAAAGTAAAAATAAGATTTACTTGTGACCGATATACAGTCCCGACAGCCAACAATCAAGGACAACACCAACCCTGGCATCGGAGCTGGGTGAACAGATTTGGTCTCTATCACACCAAATCCCCCACAGTTCACAACTGCGGTCTGGTACAGTCTGTTTTTATACTGTTTTTCTGGCCCGAGGCAGGGTCTCGTTCTTTTCATAGTAAATCATATTCATGCTGCCTCCTTCCTTCGAGATGAACCGAAGAATACAGTTCCTGTCCACCGATGAACGATGAACGCAGGCTTCGGGTCGTGTTTTACAATACAATTCTGGGCAAACAGCAATAGCTGCATTTGGAGGCAATTCTCTCGATGGTCCTCGCTATCCTGATCTCACATATGTGCAGATGGTCCCCATCCTGGCTAGACCCTTTCAGAAAGCAGCTCGGAAAGGCAAGCACTGGGCCCTTCTTTATTCCTTTGCCACGGATCCTTTAGGCGCTGAACCCGCGTTCTGAGCCAGCCAAACTGTGACCCTGCCCGCGGGGGCACAGGCAGGGCACGGCCACTCCTGACGCAGGCCCCAGTCGCCTCCCGGGAGCGGGGCCGGCGTCCCTTTGGCACACAAGGCGAGGCGCAGACCCCACGGACCGGACTGTCTGCAGGGGGCACGGACGGCCCTGCTGAGTGAAGTTCATGCTCCGACAAGCGCCGCCGGTGAATTCGCTCACTCTGGTTGCTGCAGCTCCCGGCGGGCGGGAAAGCCAACCCTCTCCATTCCAGCCATGAGAGGAGCTTTCCCCGGATCCAGGACCACTTCCGAGATTTTCGTTTCCAAGAATCTTGGGTTTCATGAGTATTCCAGTGGCTGGGACGGACCCGACTGGGGTGCCCTGAAGTTGGGTGGGGGTGACTCCCGGGGATGAGGGGAGGCGAGTGCGCAACGTTCAAACCACCCCTCCCTGCCAGTGATTCTTGGGTTTTTCCTGTAGTTTTCATTTTACCTCAGAGGTGGGTGAAAAAGAACCTAGCAAATAGTCTCAGTATGGTCTGTAACCCCGATCCACTTTGGATCAGGTCCTGTTGAGTCCAGAGCATCTCCAGGCATGAGAGTTCTGTGATTTCCCTGAGCCCCAGGACAGGGCTGGACCCTGTTCCCTTCCCTGGCCTGTGCCTGGCTCAGGGCTGCTCAGTGGGCACTGCTCAGCTCCACATCTGCTCCCCTCTCTGGCTCTCCACTCACCCCCAGACAGGGCTGTGAAAAGTGTGTATTTTATGATTGGCTTTTCGCAAGTATTAAAATGAATATTGTATTATGCTCGAAAGTTATGCTATATCTACAGGGCTCAGGAGGTCAAATGCCCCAAACACTGCCCCAGCCTCAGAAACACCTGCACAGGTCCCCAGAGAGGGGATGATGTCTCCCAGCTCCACTCACACCCCAGCCCGTGTCAGCACTGCCCAAGGCTGGAGCCCGAGGTGAGCAGCTGGATTACTGCTGAAATCCTACACCTTTATTTAGTGAATATCAGTGAATATTTAGTGAATTTTTACCTCGAATATCAGTTCCCATTTCTGGCTTCTCCTGAGGGCTCTTGGCAGCAGACAGTCAGGAGTGAGACAGCAGGAGGATGGGGCATATTTGCACCAAATCAGAGCTCTTCTGGGATCTGGCCTACCCTCTAAAGAAGAGTGGCTCAATCAAAAGGCCTCTTCCAATCTTCTCAGCCCCAACAGAGGGGCGTTGGCAGCAGCCCAGAGCAGCACACAGCCAGAGGGGCTCAAAGGTGCCCAGTGAGGAGCAGCAGTCACCTGGGCCCCAGCAGTGAGCCCTGGCACTGCCCCCTGCTCTGCCCAGGCTCGGAGGGTCAGGTTGATCCCTGCTTTCCTCCCCAGGGGCACTCACTGCTGCCAGTGTGCCCTTGCCCCTTCCAGGGCCCTCTGCCCTCCCCAGAGGGGCTTCTCTCTGTGCCAGGCAGCCACAGGGCTGCTGCTAGGGCAGCCCAGGCGCTCCCAAACCCTGAGGTATCACTGCACGTGAGGAGCTGCAGCTTCACAGGAGCCCAGAATGGGTCAGGTGGGAAGGGACCCCAGTGGCTCCTCTGGTCCCCAGGCAGGGCCATCCCAGGACACAGGGCACAGGATTGCACACAGAGGGCTCTGGAATGTCTCCACTGATGGAGGCTTTTAAGAGAGACAATTTCCCTTTGTCCAGCATCAACTGAGCTCCTTCCCCAACCACGAATTCAAGCATCTCCAGACTCCCATGCCTGGAAAGTGACTGTCCCTGATGGTCCCTGTGGGCAGACCACGACAGACACAGCGCTGCCAACTCCTGCCAGTCCAGGATCCCTGGGGGACCAGAATATCCCAGACTGGTTTGGGTGGGAAGGACCTAAAATTCCTCTCATCCCCCTTGCCATGGCAGGGACAACTTCCACCACCCCGGGGGCTCCAAGCCCCGGCCAGCCTGGCCTTGGACACTGCCAGGGATCCGGGGGCAGCCTGTGCCAGGGTCTCAGCCCACTCCCAGGGCAGGATCCCAGTGCAGGATTCCCACTGCAGGATTCCAATGCAGGATTCCAGTGCAGGGCTCTCAGGGCAGGATTCCAGTGCAGGATTCCAATGCAGTATTCCAGTTCAGAATCCCCAGGGCAGGATTAGTTCAGGGTTCCAGTGCAGGATTCCCAGTCCGGAGCTCCCGGACCCTCCTGGGATGGGGAATGGGGCGGGGCCACCACTGCGGGGCGGAGTCACAACAATGTCGTCACCGCGCCGCTCCGCTGACGTCACGCCGCCGGCCCCGCCCCTGGCCATGGCGGCGCCCTGCGCGGAGATGGAGCCGGCGGCGCCTCCGGCCTCTGCCCCCGCTGCTCCCGCGGCCGCGCCGGGCTCGGCCGGGCTCGTGTGCGCGCAGGGCCGCAACCTGCGGGCCGTGCTGTGCCAGCGCTGCGGCTCCCGGGTGCTGCTGCCCGGCGCCGCCACCTTCGCCCGCCGTGAGGTACCGGGGGGTTCGGGGGAGGGCGGGCGGGCGGTGCCGGCCGGGCGGTGACGGGCCCGTCTCTCCGCAGCTCCTCCTGCCCGCCATGAGGAAGAAGGCGGCGGCGGCGGCGGCGGGCGGCGGCGGGGACGTGCTGCGGGAGCACTGGCTGGTGCGCGACATGTTCTCCTTCGAGAACGTGGGATTCACCCGCGACGTGGGCAACGTCAAGTTCCTGGTGTGCGCCGACTGCGAGGCGGGGCCCATCGGCTGGCACTGCCTCGACGACAAGGACAGCTTCTACGTGGCGCTGGAGCGCGTGGCCCACGAGTGAGGCCGGCCCCGGGCCGGGCAGCCCTGCGGAGTGCCCGCGGCTGGTCACCCCGAGCCCGACCGAGCACAGCTTGCCTGCTCCCCGGTGCCACTGACCCTCAGCTCCGCTGGCCACCCCCTTCCCAGATCCACAGGCTGAGCAGCGCCGGGAATTGCAGCCCTGGCACAGCCAGCTCCTCACCTGCACCCACACGGGAAGAGTTGGTGGTGGGAGGGTCCCTGCACCCTGCGGGGACAGCTCACGCTGACATCTTTGCCTCGTAGCCCGGTCTGCCCCAGTCTGGCTGCTCTACCACGTCCCTGGTGGCTGCTGTTGCTCCAGGGGGCTGAGGTTCTCTCATGCTGGTGGCCCTGTGACACCATGTAAATGGGGGCACTGGGACAGGGCACTGCACTGGCAGGACTCCTGCACTGAGTCGTGGCAGCTGAAACTGTCTGACTGCAGCCGCAGCAGTTCCAGGGCTTAAGGCTGAATCTTCTGTTCATTTTCAGAAGGAATGTTCGCTGCCCCAAGCTCTTACATTTATGTTCTCCAAAACCTCATCCCACCTGACAGCTGTGGCACCTGAAGTGAGTGTAAGGCATTCCAACTAACCTGTGCAGTCCTATTAACTGAGTACTTGGGAGCAAAACACAGGTAGAATGTGCAGACAGCATAAGCTGATAGAGCAGCAAACAAAGAAAATGTGCCAGACCATAGAGCTCTCGGGAAGCAAGAGTGAAGAGATTCCAGCCTGAAAAGCACCTGAATCATTGGACAGGCAGTGCTGAAGCATGTCAGAACATATGTGTGTGTGTTAAACAGTGATGTCAGGAAGGAATTTTCTTCTGTAAAAGCTGGTGGTGAGAGTGATCTGGGATATTGTGACCAGTTTTGGTTTCTGCCTTTTAAAAGCTGGGCACAGAGCTAATTAAAGATGGAAGGAGGCTGCAGCAGCCGTGGTTCTCCCTGCATTTATCACTGCTGGTAATCGTGGCCCAGCTCATTCTCCATTGCTGAGCCCTGTATGAATGAGTGACAGAAGAGCTCTCCAGGGGTGTTTTGGGCTCCCTGGTGCTGTGCCTCTCTGTGGGACATCTCCCTGTCCTCTGCTCATAAGCCCTCGGGTACTAACCCAGCTGTGAGGGCACAGCTGTCACCGTGCTGGGGTGATGGACCTGTTTGTGCCACCAAACTCAGGGTGGGGTGTAGGGTGCTGCCCCAAGGCTGTGGGAAGAACCTTTCTCTTGCCCCTGTAATGAAACAATTTTGCTGGCAGGGCTCTGTAGGGCAGGCACGGCCTCAGATGAGTCTCCCAGGAGAGGCATCCTGACAGTAGGAGGGGCAGAAACAAGTCCCTTCTTCCTGCAGTGCTTGAGCACCTGCACTTCTGTGATTTGGAGACACTGCCTCAATGTGTGGCCTGTTCTGGGGTGCTCTGTCAGGAACCCCTGCTGGGCAGTCAGGATTTATCAGAGCAGGGAGAGAGGCAGAACTGGGTCTGGGGGCTGAGGGCCTCGCTGGGGCAGGAGGCAGATCCTGTCCTGTGTCCTTGCTAAATGTGTCAGATGGACATTTGTCATGGAGACTGCTTCTTCCCTCCTGCCCTTCCTGTCTCTTAGCCCTAAGCCCAGGGACTGCACAGGTTCATCAAGATGTGCCTCAAAGGACAAGAGAGCTTCACTTGGGTTCTGCACAGGCATGGCAAAATGGTGGGATCACATCACTAATTTCACCCTTTCATTTGGATTGTTGTCTCTTAGGTATTGTGTTCTGATCTGTAATACCCCAGTTACAGTCCATGTTACTTAAATATGCTGCACTGCTCACGCCTCATTTTGAAGAAGCCACTGTGCAGAACAGATTGGAAATCAGCTTGAGTAATGCTGAGTAAATGACCTCCAAGAAGTGGTACCTGTGGATTCCTGAGTAGAGGGTGGCCCTGGGAGGAGCTGGGGGTGGTGGCAGCTTTCCCAGTCAGTAGAACACCCCTGGAGAGATGGGAGAGCTCAGGTCAAAGCCTTCACATTGGAATGGCAGCAGCTGAAATCCACCTCAGCACAGCCCTCAGAGTGCTGGGAGCTCCTGCTCCTCTTTGGTGGCAAAGGGGAGCTGAATCCTCCACGCATCCAGGTGTGCTTTCTGCTGGCTCTTAAATACTAAATAGGATCACATAGACTTGAAATGATAAGAAGAAATGAACAGTGTGGTGGGAATTGTTGGGAAGAAGCTTTTGTACCATGAGATCTTGGGCATCATTCAGCCTCAGGTAGGGCCTTGGGTTGCTGCAGCTTGGAGAGCCATGAGAAGCACCCCTGCAGTGCTGGTGGCACGGGCAGAGACCTGGGGCAGCTGTGCAGCCCAGCTCTCAGTGAGCACCTGGGCTGGTTCATGTTCCCAGAGGTGACTGAGAATTTCAGGGGTGGGCAGGAGGTGGGGAGAAGGCAGTGTCACCGTGTGGAATTTGAGCTCAGGCAGCTCTGCTGTGCTGTTAGTGGAGCTTTGGGGGAGGAGTGCCCCAGTCAGCAGACATGGCCTGGGGGAAGAGCTGCTGCTGCTCCACTGGATGCATCCCCAGGTTTGGGATCTGCTGAAGCTGCACCGTTCCTGTGTCAATGAGAGCTAATAAAAATTCACATAGACTCACAAATACTTTCACTGCTTTTTATCCAGCATGTTGAAAAACTGTTTTCCACTTGCCTGCGGTAACTCCTAGAAAGTAAGGGTACACAACCCTCATTCATGGGAAGCACTTACACAGGACCTGGAAAAGCTCATCTTGCAGCCCATTTTTCTCTATCAACACCAAGACAGTGCAGAAACCCTTATTTCCATGCGTAGGTCACTTCAATTTGAAAATTATTAGTCTATTTAATGTCTGCATAGATGTGACTCCTGAGACCATCCTGTGTTAAGATGTAGCAGTGCCTCGAGAGGCAGCAGCAACAAACCTGCCTCCTTTGCTCCAGCCAATCCCTCCAGCAAGGTTCAAGGGGGCAAATAAGAACAATTTTGTCTAATTGCTTCCCGGTGTGGATTTGGCAGGATCTCTAGTGCCTGCATGCCTGGTTTTATGGGTCAGGTGTTTATATGCCCTAAATGTGCTTAGGATGGTTAAAAGCAGACCTTGCTGCATTCTGGCTCTGGCATTGAGATGGGTTCACAGCCCAGAGCTGTGGTGTGGGTCTGGCTGACATTGGCACCTCCTGTAGCTTCTCTCTGCTCCCATTCCCACCCAGACCTCCCACTGGAGCAGCTGCTGAACTCTTTGTATGTTCAATTTGGTAACTTAGGCTAAAGCTTCCTTTCTTGGCTGCTGGGTTGACACATGCAGCCTGTGACACTCCAGGGGCAGTGGAGGAGGCCATCCCTCCTTTTTGGCACTGCAGGCTGTGAGATCAGCTGAGCTGCCCTGAGGAACTGCCACAAGCCATGCCGTGCACAGAGATCACAATCACACTCTTCCTTCCCTAAATGAGTTACATTTCACTGAGTCAGGTAAGTGGTGCATGGAGCAGGGGCTGGGATTCAAGGCTCCCTCTTTCCCAAGCTCTGCAAGTCAGCAAAAGGCCTGGGTGCCTGGGCCTGCCAAGGCCTGAGGCCTCTCCTTGATTCCTCACCTCTTACTGAGGCAGTCTGCAGCAGGGCAGTGGTGACAGTGTGGACTTTGAAGCAGTAGCCTGGGGAACTTTGTTGTTTGCTCCCTGCTGTGTCCTAGGGCTCTCCCATCCAGCTGAGGCCTCCCAGAGGAGCCCAGCAGGTGTTGTGGTGGATGCTCCAAGTGTGGGGACACGAGGCTTGACTCCATTTTTCTCAGAAGGCGATGTATTATGTTATATATTATATTAAAATGCTACATTAAATCTATACTAAAAGAACAGAGCGAGAAGAAAAGATCAGAAGGCTACAAAGAACAAGAATAGAATAGAATGCATAACAAAATCCTGTGACTGCTCACAGCCTTGGCACAGGTGGCTGTGATTGGTCACTAATTGAAAACAATCCACATGGACCAATGGAAGATGCACCTGTTGCATTCTACAGCAGCAGATAGTTACTGTTTACACCTGCACAGTGTGTCTGTGGGACCTGCTGCCTGCAGGTGTGGAGGGGAATGGCTCAGCAGTGTTCAGAGAAGAGCTGTGGCTGATGAAAGCAGGGCCAGCTTGGCCAGGGAGGTTGTTGTGTTCTCTGTCCTGCACAGCTCACCTTGCTGCATTCCCTAACCTCTGTGTGAGCGGGCACAGCCCCATCAGCACAGGGAGGTGTTTGGGGGAACAGGGCTTTCTGAAATGTGTTATGAATTTCCCTGAAGGTCATTTTACGTATCTGACCTTACACTCCCTGATAGGAACGTAAGTAGGAGGAAAGGAAACAGTTGAGATGAAATAGCTTCAGGGTCCTTGGACAACTGGTGCAGGGAAAGAAACCCTACCTCCCACAGAGTCAGGTTAATACAGGCCTAGCTCCAGAATCAAAGAAACACTAAACCACCGAGTATTTTGCCGAAAACCCACCAAGTATTTTGAAGCTGGCTGGGGACACAAAAGGAAACCACAGCAGATGAGTGGAACTGGCCATAAAAATGCAGAGAGAGCATGAGGGCTTTTATCAAAGCCAGCTTTGTTCTCTTTCAACCAACACTTTTATGCATTTCAGCATAAATACTTGAGTGCTGAGTTGTGAGGCAGCCAGGTCCCTCTGGTGCAGCTTTGGTATGAGCACAATTGGGCCCCTCAGTGACAGAGAAGAGGGAGATGGCAGCCCAGCAGCCCAGGGGAGAGGTACTGGCCTGTGGGGCTGGATGGGGGAGAGAAGCCAGTTTTCACAGGAGTGTGCTTTGGGGTGGGTGCCCCAGCACCGAAAATGACCCAGTCTTACACAAAGTGAAAATCGAGTGCTTGGCTCCCTTCGTGCAACCCCCGAGGAAGAGTGAGCAGGTTCCAGGGTTGCTGAGATAACATTTCCATCCTCTGAGAGGGGGAAGCAGCTCTGGAAAAAGCGTTTCTTTCATAAAAGTGAATCAAGTGTGGCACAGTCCATCGCAGTGGTTGCTGCAGTTTGGCTTTTCAAGTGCTGCACATCGAACTCCGGGAGAGCTGCAGGGGTGGGAGCACCTGGGGGGAGGATCTGTCCCTTGAGCATCCCAGGGCCATTTCAGGGGGCTTAAGACATGAACTAGTCAGATACAGCTTCTGCCTGGAGAAAATCCAGCCAAGGAGGGAAGGGCACCTGCCTCTCAGTGTGGGCTGAGCTGGGCGGGACAGCTCGGGGCAGGTTTGGAGCCCAGAAATGCAGCTGGACAGAAATGCAGAGCCCAGAAATGCAGCGGGGCGTGTGCTGCCACTGCAGCCGCACAGGAGGCCGAAGCAGAGAGCCAGAGCCGCGCGTTTCCAGCAGCCCCGGCTGTGTGCGGCAGGACAGGGCAGAGCTGCCGCCGGGCCTGTCCTTCACAAGCCTTTCAGGGTCATTTGTGTCTTGATGGGATCCGAGTGTCCCCGGGGCAGAGCTGCGCTGGGAGGATTCCCTCGTGGATGTGTTTGTCCCGCCTCTCCTCGCTGGGGAAGCTGCAGGAGCGTGTGTATGCTCAGCTGGGCTTCTGCTCCCCCTTTCATGTTCCTTATCTTCCAGGAGGCTCTCAGTTCCCTGCGGGAAGGCTGACAGTCTCTGTAATCACTGTGCGTGCACAGGCAGAGCGCTCCATCTGCTTGCTGCCCGGAGTACCCTGTGCCATTGTTCCAACCCAGCTGGAAGAGATGCCCTGAGAGCAAAGGAAAATGAGCAAAGCCGTGTCAGCACAGGTATCCTTCCCCTCCTGAAGCAGCTGGCTCTGCACGCTGCCTGGAATGCTGTGAACATGCTCTTTCCATGGCAAACAGCCAGAACACAGCTTGTTGCAGAATCTCTGTGTTATTTGGAATATCTGGCAGTGGAACATCAGGACATGGCTTCAAGAACTTGTTGCCTCGTGCTTTCCTGTTCTCTTGGAGGACTTGGCTCTCTCTGCCAGGCCATGGCAAGTCCAAGGGGCTGGCACCAAAAAAAGGCAAATAGAACGCAACTGCCAAAGAGAAAAGAGTGTTCAGAGAAAGGAGCAGCTTCGGGCTCCAGAGGGAGGGATCTCCCTTGATGAGGAACACCGAAGTGTGAGGGCTGAAGTTGTGCATCAGCAGCGATCTGGGGCTCTGTGCCTTGGTCAGCTCAATCCCTGCTGCAGCCTCAGGTGTCCCAGCCTGGCTCTGGTGCCAGCGCTCCACGGGCCCTCATGATGCCAGCGCTGCTCGGGGGAATCTGGTTCCATCCCTTTCCTCAAGGCCCCTGCTAGGATATAGGGATTTCTGTTGGAAACCCAGTAAGCTGGCACCAAAAGGGAATGTCTTGTGTGTAGCTGGATGATACTCAAGACACTGCTCCTGATTTTGGGAGAGGTGACGCCACAGTGCCCAGTGCTGCACAAACTCAGGGCAGCACAACATAAAGTGCAGATTACTGGGACCCTCAGGCTCACTCCTTGGCACCTCAAATCTGTGACACTTCCCCCAGCCTCTGCTGCCTGGCCATCACAAATGGAGGAGTCTGGACTGTGGATGTGTAGTGGTTTAACCCCAGCTGGCAGCTAAGCACCAACACAGCCCCTCATTTCTCCCCCACACTGTAATGGCAGAAGTGGAAGGTGAAAGTGAGAAAATTGGTGGGTTGACATGAAGACAGTTAAATAATGAAAACTATTTTTTAAAAATGTAAGGGGAGAAAACCAACAAAGAGAAGAAAACAGAAACCAAGAAAAACAAGTGATACAAGAAAGCAATTGCTCATCACTAACTGCCCTAAGCCTGGCCACACCCCACCATCCCCCTACCCTCTGTTTCAGGGCTGAGCATGGCATCACATGGTCTGGGATATCCCTGTGGTGAGTGGGGGACAGCTGTCCTGGCTGTGTCTCTCCAGCTCCTTGTGCACCCCTGGCTCAACGCTGGTGGGTCAGGGTGAGGGGCAGAACAGCTCCCAACTCAGCAGGAGCTAAATCATCCCTGTGGGATCCGTGCTGCTCTCAGCACAGATCCCAAACAGCACCACAAGGTGCTGTGGAGAGCTGTAGTTCTGCCCCAGCCCAAAGCCCTACAGGATGTGAGCTGTTTGCCACACTCACTCACTGCACCTCTGCCAGGTTCCACGGGCAGAAGGACCCCACGACACAGTTGGTACAGATGGGAACATCCCAGCTCTGGGAATGGGAATGAGCTGGGCCCTGGTGCTGCTGCCTGAGCAGCAGGGAGGGGAAGCTGCACAGCAAGAGAGAGCTGGCTGAACGAGTGATTTTAGTTACCCTCACTAAAAGAATCACAAAATGGTTTGGGTTGGAAAGGACCTTAAAGCTCATCTTGTTTCCATCTCTGCCATGGCAGGAACACCTTCCATTATCCCAGGTTGCTCCAAGGCCCGTCCAGCCTGGCCTGGGACACTCCAGGGCAGCCACAGCTGCTCTGGGCACCCTGTGCCAGGGCCTCCCCACCTTCACAGAAGGAATTTCTCCCCAGTATCCCACCCACCCCTGCCCTCTGGCAGTAGGAAGCCATTCCCCTTCATTGTGGCACTCCAGTCCTTGTCCAACGTCCCTCTCCAGCTCTCCTAGAGCCCTTTTAGGCACTG